TGAAGACCGCCTCTTCTGGTAAAGAAAGGAGGGTGATAGTTGTAGGAGACTCCCTTCTAAAAGGAACTGAGGGCCCGATATGTCGTCCTGACCCCACCCGGAGGGAAGTGTGCTGCCTTCCTGGGGCACGGGTCAGGGACATCTCTAGAAAGCTGCCTGGGCTTATTCGCCCGTCTGACTACTACCCCTTATTGGTAGTTCAGGTTGGCAGTGATGATACTGCCAAGAGAAGCCTAAGGGCAATCAAAAATGACTTCAAGGGTCTGGGGAGGGTACTGGATGGTGCGGGAATGCAAGTGATCTTCTCTTCTATCCCTTCAGTGGCGGGGAAGGACTCTGAAAGGATCAAAAAGGCCCTCCTCATCAATAAATGGCTTAGAGGATGGTGCAGGCAGAAGAACTTTGGTTTTTTTGATCATGGGGCAATTTACTCGGCTCCTGGCATGATGGCTGCAGATGGAGCTCAACTGTCTACAAGGGGTAAAAGGATCCTAGCCCAGGAGCTGGCAGGCCTCATTGAAAGATCTTTAAACTAGGTAAGAAGGGGGAAGGGGACAAAATGAGCACTGCTGAGGTTCAGGTAGTTCAAGGCTCAAAAGTGAATTTGATGGGTGACGAGGGTGGAGTTCGAAGGGATGGAGTGTGGCAGGGGAATGCTGCCTCCCTGAAGTGTCTATACACTAATGCGCGCAGTATGGGAAATAAACAGGAAGAGTTAGAGATCTGCGTGCGGTCACATGGCTACGATCTCATTGCGATCACAGAGACGTGGTGGGACAGCTTGCATGACTGGAATGTTGTCATGGAGGGCTATGTGCTTTTTAGGAAAGATCGGCCGGCGAGGCGGGGTGGTGGAGTTGCTCTTTATGTAAGAGAGCAGCTTGAATGTATTGAACTCCACCTGGGGGAGAGTGGTGTAGCAGTGGAGAGCTTGTGGGTAAGAATCAAGGGGCGGGCTGGTATGGCTGACACCGTTGTGGGTGTGTGCTACAGGCCCCCTGATCAGGAGGAGGAGGTTGATGAGGCCTTCCACAAACAGTTGGAAGCAGCGTCACGATCCCAGGCGCTGGTGCTTATGGGGGACTTCAATCATCCAGATATTTGCTGGAAAAGCAATGTGGCCAGGCATGCGCGGTCCAGACGGTTCCTGCAATGTGTTGAAGACAACTTCCTGATGCAGGTGGTTGAGGAATCGACAAGGAGAGGGGTACTGCTGGACCTTATTCTCACTAATAGAGAAGGGCTTGTCAGGGAAGTAAAGGTCAGGGGCAGCTTGGGTTGTAGTGACCACGAGATGGTGGAGTTCAAGATCCTGAGTGGAAGAAGTAAAGCAAAAAGTAGGATTGCTATCCTGGACTTTAGGAGAGCCAACTTCAATCTCTTTCGGGGCCTACTTGGAGCTGTCTCATGGGCTAGGGTGTTGGAAGGCAAGGGGGCCTGTGAGAGCTGGTCGGCATTTAAGCAGCTCTTCTTCCAAGCTCAGGATCGGTGCGTCCCTGTGAGGAAGAAATCAGGAAAGGGTGGCAGGAGACCTGTGTGGATGAGCAAGGAGCTCGTGCACAAACTCAAAGGAAAGAAGAAGGCCCATGAAATGTGGAAAAAGGGTCTGACTACTTGGGAAGAATACAGAAATGTTGTCAGGGTCTGCAGGGATGTGACAAGGAAGGCTAAAGCCCGCCTGGAATTAAATCTGGCAAAGGGGATAAAGGATAATAAAAAAGGTTTTTTCAAGTACATTAACAGTAAAAGGAAGACTAGGGAGAATGTGGCTCCCCTGCTAAGTGACGGGGGTGTTCTGGTAACGGGGGATGCTGAGAAGGCGGAGATACTGAATGCCTTCTTTGCTTCTGTCTTCAGTGAAAAAGCTCCCCCTCGGGAATCTGAGACCCTGGAGATTAGTGAGAGGATCTGGGGAATGGAAGACCCCCCTTCTGTCAGGGAAGAGGTGGTCCGGGAGCGCCTAGGCAACATCAATGTTCAGAAATCCATGGGACCCGATGGGATTCATCCACGGGTGCTGAAGGAGCTGGCAGAGGTGATTGCTGAACCACTTTCGGTCATCTTTGAGAAGTCTTGGAAGACGGGGAAGGTGCCTGAAGACTGGAAGATAGCCAACGTCACCCCGGTCTTCAAAAAAGGCAAGAAGGAAGACCCAGGCAATTATAGGCCAGTCAGCCTCACCTCTGTCCCTGGAAAGGTGATGGAACAGCTTGTACTGGATGTCATCTCCAGACAACTGGAAGAAGAGGAGGTTATCAGGAGTAGTCAGCACGGGTTCACCAGGGGGAGGTCGTGCTCGACCAACCTGGTAGCCTTCTATGATGTTGTCTCTGGCTGGGTGGATAGGGGGAGAGCAGTGGATGTAGTCTACCTTGATTTCAGCAAGGCATTTGATACTGTCCCCCATGACGTCCTTATAACAAAGCTGAGGAAGTGTGGGATAGATGAGTGGACAGTGAGGTGGGTTGAGAACTGGCTGAGTGGCAGAGCACAGAGGGTCGTTGTTGGTGGTGCAGAGTCCGGTTGGAGGCCTGTAACCAGCGGTGTTCCTCAGGGGTCGGTGCTGGGTCCGGTCTTGTTCAACATCTTCATCAATGACCTTGATGAGGGGATAATGGCCACCCTCAGCAAGTTTGCCAATGATACAAAGTTGGGAGGATTGGCTGACAGCCTGAAGGCTGTGTTGCCATTCAGCAAGACCTGGATAGGCTGGAGAGCTGGGCAGAAAAAAACCGGATGAGGTTTAACAAAAGCAAGTGTAGAGTCTTGCATCTGGGGAGGAATAATTCCATGCACCAGTACAGGTTGGGGGATGACCTGCTGGAGGGGAGCTCTGCGGAAAGGGACCTGGGTGTCCTGGTGGATGACAGGTTGGCCATGAGCCAGCAGTGTGCCCTTGTGGCCAAAAAGGCCAATGGCTTACTGGGGTGCATTAAAAAGAGCGTGGCCAGCAGGTCAAAGGAGGTGATCCTCCCCCTCTACTCTGCCCTGGTAAGACCTCATCTGGAGTACTGCGTCCAGTTCTGGGCTCCCCAGTACAAAAAAGACAGGGATCTCTTGGAAAGGGTCCAGCGGAGGGCCACGAAGATGGTGAAGGGCCTGGAGCATCTCTGCTATGAGGAAAGGCTGAGTGAACTGGGTCTGTTCAGCCTTGAGAAAAGGAGACTGAGAGGGGACCTGATCCAGGTCTATAAATATCTAAGGTGTGGGGGGCTGAATGGCGAGGCCGGACTCTTTTCAGTGGTGAGTGGAGACAGGACAAGGGGAAATGGCCAGAAACTGGAGCATAGGAAGTTCCGCACAAACATGCGCGAGAACTTCTTTACAGTGAGGGTGACGGAGCACTGGAACAGGCTGCCCAGGGAGGTGGTGGAGTCTCCTTCTCTGGAGATGTTCAAGACCTGCCTGGATGCCTACCTGTGCTACCTGGTGTAGGGAACCTGCTTTGGCAGGGGGGTTGGACTCGATGATCTCAGGAGGTCCCTTCCAACCCCTACAATTCTGTGATTCTGTGATTCTGTGATACATCTACCATATTCCCTGTTCCTCCCACCAGGAGCATGCCCCCACCAAGTACCAGTGCTGAGGGGCCCTGATGGGAATGCAGTGAGAGCCCACAGTGCCTTTCAGCCTAGCCCTGAACATGCTTGCTCACCCCAGTGTCTTCCAGTCCTACCCCAGTATCTCCCAGTGTCCCCCTGGTCCTGCCTGTCCGGTGCCAGCCCCATCTCACTGCCTCTCAAGCCTATCCCTGTACCCCTACAACTCCTCCATTTCTCCCCACAGGACTCCACACCCCCTGTCAGCAAGGTGTGATGGCAAGAGTGAAAGGAGGACAGAGCGAGGGGACTGAGGAGGCTCTAGAATGTCACAATGCCCACTCTGTACTCCCACAGTGTCTGCTACCTGGTGGAGGTTTCCATCTTTGTGTGCACCGAAGAAGCCTCAGCCCAATGAGACCCCACTAGATTTCTTTTTAGGGGAGCACAACCCCCTCAATCCCCATGACCCAACACTGATCCCACTCGGCCTCCCATCCCAAACCCCAACTATTTTGGGTTATGTCATGCAACCCGAAACCCCAAATCTCCCCCACAAGTTGAAGATCATTGAGAGCCTCACCAACCTCCTGGACTCCATGATGGCCCCATCACTCTTCAAGCAGCTCTCCTGCCTTCTTCTGTGCCTTAGTCACCATGGTGTCACCTCTGAGGAGCTGGAGCAGGGCATCTGTGATATCCTGCTCACCTATACCCTTGCCCAGGTCACCAGTAGAATCCAGGGTTTGAAGATAACACGATGATGTTGATGTTGATGATGATGTTGACAATGAGACAGAATCAGAGTTGAAGGGGTCAAAAGGGACATCTGGAAATCATCCAGTCCAGAATTCCCTTGATTAGTTTGCACTGGAAAGCAACTAAGCAGGTTTTGTTTATCTCCAGAGAAGGAGACTCCACAACCTCTCTGGTTGCTTCAGAGCTTGCTCCACTGTTCAATCACAGTGAAGAATTTTTTCCTTATGTTCATATGGAACTTTCTGTGCTCCAGTTTTTGCTCACCACCCCTAGTTCTGCTGCTGAGGCAGAAAAGAGCCTGGCTCCATTCACTTGACTCCTGTCCTTTACTTATTTACAAGTACTGACCAGGTCTCCTCTCAAGCCTTCTCCATGCTGAACAGTGCCAGGTTTTTCAGCCTCGTCCAGGGCTCTCTTCATCTTTATTAGCCCTCCCAACCCTACTCCTACCCCTAACGCTACTCCTACCCCTAAACCTACCCCTAGCTCTACCTTTAGCTGTTATCCTAACTCTAATTTTAACTTTCACATCCCACTGGAGCTGCTCTCCACCAACATTTATGCTGACCTAAGACATCCCAAGCCAGGACACCAGAACAGAGAAGGACACAGCGACACCATGGTGTCAATGTGTCTTGCCATGCTGCTGGCTGTCAGAGTTTTTCTCCATGCACTGAGCCTTTCTGAAAGAATATATGCAACTTGTGAGGGTAAGAATATATTTATTGTTTATCATATGTAATCATGAGTTAGTTTGCAAGCTGTAGAACACTGTTGGCCCTGCAGCAAAGCCATGAGGTGGTGATTCCATTTCCCATGGGATCCATCATCACCATCCACTTCTTTCCAAAACCACTGGAGAAGCCTTGCTGCGTCCTTGCTGAATAGGGGATCCTTTTGGCAGCAGTGGTGCCCACCTTCCCTCACATGACTTTGTTGTAGGGTGGTGGATTCATGTCTTCAACCTGGACTTTCAGGATGGCTTTCTGGTTGTTGGACATCTTGGCTTGAACACGAATGTACTCGTTGGAGACCTCCAGGGTTCCATGCTCATACCCCAGCGCGGCTCGCTGGAAGAGCGAGGAGCCGCAGTATGGTTTACTCTTCATCGTCTTGGAGAAGATATCACTGAGGATTCCCAGGTGGTTCTCCTCTGTGAAGATCTCCAAGGCAAACTCAATTTTGTAAAGGATGTAGTCAAAGGGGTTGGAGAATGTGATAGCCAAAAAGAAACCACCAGCCTTGCAGACCACAATGCCCACGCTCCCTCGCAGGCTGTAGGGAGTTTTTGCAAAGGCACATATTCCTTTGGAGTTCGGGCCAATTTGAAAGGGCAGCGTGGTCTGGATCTTGCCACTGAAGCAATAACTCCTGTAGAAGGAGGGTTGGTGAGAAAGGGCAGCTGGAGCCCAGTGGATGGAGGCACAAGGGCAACTCATTTGCAGAGGTGCTGAGTGGGACTCAGAGTTCTCTAGAGAGCAGGCAAGCATTGCCAATGCCAAGCATCCCTGAGTCAGAATTACCACTCCCAGAATCACCAGTGCACAGCATCACCAGAGCAGGCATGACAGAAAGGGAGCTCAGTGTCCCTACCAAGCCTCTTTAGCCTTTACCTTGTTGGACCCAAGCTGTGCCCTCTGTGCACATGAACCTCATGCAGTCCTACAAGGAGAAGTGCAGGTGCAGCAGCTGGGCAGGAGTAACTCCAGCACTGGGTTTTGCTGGGGGCACCCAGCTGGAAGCAGTGGCAGAAAAGGACATGATCTGCAATGTGCCCTTGATACCTATGGGGCTGAGGGTGCTGTGGGCTGCATCAGGCAAAGCACTGCCCAAAGCAGGAAGAGATCCTGCCATTCTGCTTAGCACGGCTGAGCTCACACCTGGAGTGCTGTGTCCAGTTCTTGCCCCCAGGAGAAGGGAGACAGCGTAAAGAGTTCTACAGAGGTCCATTGAGATGGTGAAGGGATAGGAGAATCTGTCCCCTTGGGAGAGCTGGGACCACTGACACAGAAGAGGAGTGGCTCAAAGGATTCTTATATAGGTATCTGATGGGGGGGGAAAACAGAAAAAGAGAAAGGAGCCGTAATGTTTGCATGGTTTGAATGTGTGCTCATGACTGGCTGCTCCAAGCTGGAAGGGACAAGAGCTGACTCTGATGACAGCAGGGAATCTAAGCAAGGCCTCCAAGGGAATAAGCAAAGAATAAAGACACAGAAAGAATTGGAGAAGCATGGGGACAAGGAAGGAATTTCTTGAAGTGTGTGCAGCTGTACAGTGCAAACTGAGGATGGTCCACCACAAGATGGAGGAACATGCTGGAAATTGCTCCAGCACTTGGCACTGAGCCTCTCCATTGTTCTTCTAATGCCAAAGGTATTTCAGCGATGTCCCTCATAGGCAGGGTGGCAGAAAGCAGCAGGGGACAGAGGGGTACCCACCTGAACTCCTTCAGTGTCACTGTCTTGGTCCTGTTGATGATCTCCAGGCCCACGCTGCGGCACACATCAATGTTCTTCATCAGGCTCTCCACACTCTCCCCCAGTTGCCCAGGGTTACAGTTGTCATTGCAAGGCTTCTCCTTTTCTTTTTTCTCCTTTAGTGGCATCTTCCCCACTCAGTCCTGGGAGCAACACTGTGGAGCTCCAAAAGTGCTGCAGTGGTGCAAAAGCAGCGAAAACAAAAGTGGTGGCTTCCTATGGGAGCTCAGAGCAGGGCATGCAGTGCTCCTCCCCCACATCCTGTCGGGCTTTGCAGGTCTCACAAAAGACAGCTTTTGCACAAGGAAGTCCTGGGGGGAGCGACGCAGAAGGCTGTGTTCTCCTGCTCCATCCCCAGCTCTGGTTCTGGAAGGATCTAGCTGGAAAATATCCAGAATTCCAGGGCTGAGGGTTTGCTGATGCTCAGAAAACAAATGCTCCTCCCACATCCTGCCCATGGAGGAGTAATTCAGGGTATCTGCTAAATACAAATTTAGTTTTCCTGTCCTTGATTAGTCCTGATACTTTTTGTCCCAATGTTATTTGTTGCACAGCTCACATTAAGCTATAGGTTTACACGTGGAAGTGGAATGGTCACAAGCAGCTGTGAATTCAACTGCTCCATGTAAATTTATTGCTGAGCAGCTGTGTAGCACTGCAACAACACATTTGCATTGCAACAGTGTGTTTGCAATGCAGTGCAACCCAAAACTCATTCAGAGTGATTCTGTGTGATCTCTGTGCACTGTGGGAAGAAGTGGGCTCCAAAGCTTTGCAAGGATGAAGATAAAGTGCTGAATTAGACATCACTTATACAGGAGATGCCCCACGCCACTCATCATCTTTGGGCCCAGTTCCTTCTCTGCCTTGAGCTGCGGTGCCCAGAATTGGACTCAGCACTCCAGATGTGCTCTCCCCAGGGCAGGGTAGAGAGGGAGGGTCCTGCTGACCTTGCTCTTTGTAACGGCCCCCAGGATCCCACTGGCTCCTGGTCAACCCATTGTCTGTCATTCAGAGTCAGTCTGGGTTTGTGAAGGGTAAAGTCCAGCCTTGGTAATTTGATCTACTTCAATGACAAGGTTGAGCCTCTTGTTTAGCAATGCTTTTGCCTTCTGAAAATAAGTATGAGAAGTGGAGTGTTGCAGGAAAGCTTCCAGTTTCCCAGGTAAAAGAGAAGCAGGAGCCACTGCTGAAATGGCATTTCTCATGGGAATGCATCTAATATGGGGATACATTGCTCCTGTGTTCCAGCAGCAGCTGCCATTGCAGAAGGGTAACACATTAAGCAGCTGAATTGCCCCAGTCAGTCTGCTGGACATTCCTTCTCCTAAGCTTAGGTGGTTTGCTTTTAAGATATGGCCAGATATTATGACTATCAGCCATTCATCTTACCCCACAAATAGTGAGCAGACTGAGAGCCCTATGAGCTCTAATACTCATAACAGGAAAGCAGAGGATCTCTGCAGTTGCTACTAAATATTGTGATGCTTGAGTGACTTTCATCCCTGGGGGGATAATGTGGAATATTTACTGGAGGTGACTTACTGAAATGTCCACCCCTTGAGAGAAGGAAACCTCTCAGGTGGAATGAAGCTCATCAGTTCTGTGATAGCTCCCTAGGCAATCTAAGACCTGCAAACCTTAGATTATCAGCAGCTCCTGAAGAGTGTGGTGTGCAGGCTCTAAGAGATACAGCACAGAGGGTGGGGTGGAGTGGAAACACCACGTCCAAGCACTGTGACAACACTGTGGGGATGGAAATTTCTTGGTACTACAGGACTGATAAATTGTTCTCACCCTATGCTGGCAGCTTTCCACCTTTCTGTGAAAAACATGTTCAGTGAGTAAACTTTTTAAAAAAATAGACTGTGTTTGTCTAGAGTCACTCAAGCTCCACCCAAAAGTAAGAAAATACTATGAAGAGAGCTTAGAAGAGAAGGACTTTTGGGGAAGGTATCATTGCAGACCAGTCAGGAGGATGCTGCTGGGACCAGTCGGCGAGCTGAACCTCTCTTCCCACACAGGAACACCTCTTGGGTGAGATTTGCATATTCAGTTGTACAGCCTTTAACAAAGCCTCTTGAAACAAGCACACATCCCCTGTGCAACACCTCAACCTGCACAACTGCATGATGCTTGCACTGATTTTCTGCTCTTCAACCCCTCTGCAGCATTTTGGATTCATCTTTTCCTCATAGCTTCTCCTCCAGCAAATGCAGTGGCTGTGCTGTTACCAAGCATTCTCCCTTGCTATCCTGATGTATTTTGGCTCCAGCACTGAGGGCTGTGTTATGCACTAGGAAGGAAACTCATCTGCTAGAGAAGGAGAAATGACGCCCCTGTGCTTCCTAGGGAGGGCAGTTTAGCTGTTATTCCAGCAGCCTCTGCAGTGATTGGTGCAAGAATGAAAACTTCTTTCCATTTTTTTCTTTTCCCAAAAATATTTGACTCAGCTCCCTCCCTTTCTGCACTCAACAGAAATCTCCATGGGGCTTCCTGCTGCAGGCTGCAAGCACTGAGCTGTGCAATGGGCTCATGGAAGGGCTGAGATTTTCCCCTGCATGCTGAGCAGCTGTGGGTAATTTTATTTGATTTTGCATTTATGATTTTTATTATTATTTTTATAATTATATACTTACCTGTCTATCAATTTAATTTAATTCAATTCCAATATGTATTTTTAAAGTTTTGTTACCAAACTGTAGCACTGTTCTTTAATTTCATTTTTCACCCACCTCTCCCTGATCGTCCACGCAGAGAGTGTGGACTTTCTGGTCCCAACATTAAAAGAGAGTAATCCCAAATTTACAAAAAATGTGTTGAAATCCCCTCCAGCAGCAGCAGCAGAAAACAAGCAACAAAGGTGCAAAGGATCATTGGAGCTTTTGGGGTCATCTTCTGTGGCTGTGTCTCCACAAGTGCTGCAGCACGATAAGCTGAAGAGTCGTGGCTCTGTGCAAACACTGCTCTGCAACAACAGCATCTGCGTGCCTTCATTGTTTTCCTCATAAATCCAAACTTTAGCATGACAGCAGCTGCTAGAAAGGAAATTAACTCTGTCCCCACCAGAAGCAGTGCAGGGTGCATCTCCCAGCTTGGGCAACAACTCATGCTTCACCCTGCCTCCCTGCCCTGGGTATGAAATGTGAATTCAGGGTGGAGCAGGGTAGACTCAGGAAACCACAACCGTAGCCCTGGGGCTCCAGGAGACAACAGGTTTCTTCTCCTCCTCTACACAATTTGGGCACACCAGGTCGAGGTTCCTCTTTGTCATTTTGTGTCTCCCAGGAGAGATCTAACTTTAATTTACTTACTTGCTGTTTCTCTCTCCTGCTAACCGCTGCTTTCAGACTCCACATCCATGCCAAGCCATCTCATTTTCGTTCAAGTTTCTAGCTTTGTCTCCCCTAACCAACCCACACCAGACTCTTTTGTTCCTCTGAGATACCCTGGGATATACCATCCACCAGCACATCCTATGGGATATGATGTGAGACAGAGGATTCCCCTCTGGACCAAGCTCCTTGGGTCATCTCCCATCAGTGGAGGGTTGGGTTGTCTCATCAACTTCTCCCACTGCTCCAGTGAGAAATCAGCAAACTGGGTCTCCTTCTGCTGCCCATCTCAGCTTGTCCCATCTGTTGTGATTTTGGAAGGCTGATGTGACAGCTGGCTTCAGTGGGGCTTGGCTTCAAGCAGCTCTCTGCCCAAACGTCCCCTTCACAAAATCAGGATAAACCTATAAAAGACTGAAAAGCAAAAAGGGTCATGTCCCAAACACTTGGTGAAAGAGTAGAAGGATGTCACCTCACTGACAGAGCAAAGCACTGTCGGAGGAAGCGGCCTTGTGAACGTGAGACAGTACTTTTTGGGACTTATCTCCCTAACTTGTGAGGCCACTCTGCCCCAAGCCTGCAGCATTGCCTGGAGTTGTTGTGGCCAAAGTGCAGGACCCAGCAATTGGCCTTGTCGAACCTCATCCCATCAGTCTCAGCCCAGCATTCCAGCCTGTCCAGGTCCCTCTGTAGGGCCTTGCTACCCCCAGGCAGATCCACACTTCCTGCCAACTTGGTGTCATCTGCATACTTACTGAGTGTGCACTCAGTGCTCTCGTCCAGATCATCAATAAAGATATTAAACAGAGCCAGCTCCAATACCAACTCCTGGGGAGCAACACTTGTGACTGTTCGCCAGCTGGATTTAACTCCATTCATCACCACCTCCTGGGCCCAGCCATCCAGCCAGGTTTTCAGCCAGTGAAAAGGACTCCAGTTCAAGCCACAGGCTGCCAACTTCTCCAGGAGAGTGGTGGGAAATAGTCTTGAAGGCTTTGCTGAAGTAGATCAGTAGATCAGTAGATCACATTTACAGCCTTTTCCTCCCCCACTAAGTGAGCCACCTGGTCACAGAAGAATTAGGCCAGATGTTAGGAGGAAGTTCTTTACTCTGTGGTAGTGAGGCACTGGAACTGGCTGCCGAGAGAAATTGTGGATGCTGCATTCCTAGAAGCGTAGCCTCACCTTGAGCGCTGGTTTGGGTGCCACAGTATTACAGGGACATGAAAGTATTTGAAAGCATCCTGAGGAGAGTTATGAAGGTGGGGAAGGGTCTGGAGAGCAAGCCGTGTGAGAAATGGCTGATATCTCTTGGTTTGTTCAGCCTGTACTCCCTGCAAAATCCCCAACATCTGGCAATATCCATCAGCAGTGCTTATGTGGATTGATGGAGTGATGACAGAATTGGAAAAAAGAGCCATGGCTAAAAGGACTCATTTGCCTTACTATTCAGCTGCGTGGCCAGTGAAAAACTAACTAGGTAATGGTGTTTCACAGTAGAATATCAACAGTCAGATGCTAAAACTGCACCTTTAACTGCCTCAGTTGCAAACACTGGAGTGGTAGTGACACTGATACAGGGAGCTGCTCACTGCTGCTTGGGGGCTAATAAGTTTCTCACTATTTCTCTCCTTGAGTGGGATAAGTTTGCTTGTATCTGGAGGAAGGCCAAATATACATTTAAGAGTCTTCAGAGAGGATGTAAACATTCTCTAATACCCATAACGCTTTGGCTAAGTTTTCAGCAAAGATTCCTGTTCCACCTGACCATACAGTGTATCAGTATATTGATAACATCCTGATAGGGGGAAAGTTTGCATGATAGGTTTGAAAGTAGCAATGTATGCTACTCTACCTCTGGTGGGTCTTTGGTAAGCAGGCACATCAATTACCCAGCAGCCAATCTGTACTTCCTTCCCTGGGATGACATGGAGCCTAGACATCCAAAGAGAGTGTCTCCAACCCTTTAAGCAGACTTCATTCCCATGGAAAGCTAAAGTAGATGGATTTAGGTCTAAAATAGGCTTTGGGGTATTCCAACACTTGCA